AAAAATTTTCTGAACGAGAATTGCACTGCTAGTAGCCAACACTTTTCCATGCTCCAATAATTAATACTTAACTTCCTAGAGTATCTTGTCATATTTAATCATACGATAATGATACTACACGAGTGTCCGTCCGGACGTGGCTAGCTGGGCTGCAGGACCAGCCCACAACTGCTCTCAAGCCCGCGTATATAATTAAAATAGAGAGCGACACGTAACGTTTCCTCATTAATTCCTATAGATGTCCATAGCCCGCAGCCCGTTGACACGGCACGAAGCCTGCTATTTTGGTCCGGCACGAGCACGGCACGGCACGGCGTTTCTCAAGCCTGGGCCAGCCTGGGCCAACGCGTAGGGCCATGCTTGGGCCGCTACTCAGGCACGGTGGGTGGCATGGCCCGGCCCGCCCGACATTTATAGGTAGGCACGATATCGGCCCGATGACTATAGCAGCCTGGCGGCCTGCTAGCTAAGAGCCCAACTTCGTTTCCCTACAAAGAAAACGCCCCTTCCTAATTCTAACCCTACTTCATTTCCCCTTCCCCGCCATCGCACTACCTGGTTTCTCGCGGTCACGAGTCGCGACTCTCATGACTCCTCGCCCTCCGCGGCCCCGCTCATGCCTTGTGGCTCCGCCGTCCGCACGAACGCACCCGGTCGCCGCCTCCTTCCACGCCCTCCCTCGCAGAGCCGCATCGCATGCGGCGGTGGCGAGCGCAGCGGTGGCCATCCTCGAGTGGCTCCTCCACGCCTCCTCTGGATCCAGCTCGAGGACATTGGCCTCCTCGCATCCAGCTCAAGCGGCACCTCCACGCATCCTACGGATCCCGTCCTCCCCCCCCCCTCTCTCCTGATTCGGGCCGCGGGCTGGCCCGATCACCTCTCGGACCGGCTTTTGCCGGGCCCGGCCCGCAAAAAAAGCAGCCTGATGTGTCGTGCCTGGGCGAAGGCCGCAGCACGTGTGAGAAGCACAGCCGGGAGGCACGACGTGCCGTGCCAGCCCAACCAACTACGGGCCGTGCCTGGTCTGGGCCCATGCCGGCCCGGCCCGTTGGCCATCTATGTTAATTCCACATCATCGCTGTGGGCGCCTCTAGCGCACCGCCGCCACTGTTACCTCGCTTCTTCTCTGCCACTGTGGCCGCGACCTTCTCCCCCACTCCATATGGCGGTCGCTTCCCCAACTCCATGGTGGCTCGAGCAAGCCTTCTCCCTCGGCCCTCCCCTCCATGGATCCATCCTCCTCTCCTCCATGTGCATCTTCCCTCAAGTCCGACGGCCTTCCATGGCGTCCCCTTCCCCTACTCCATGGCGGCCGCGACCCTCCCCCACGTCCCATCGGATCTGGCCCTCCCCTACCCTGGCCGGCGGCGCCCTCCCCCGATCCGGCAGTGTCTCCTCTCCCTCAGCCGACGATGATCATGGCGGGGGCGCGGCGTACGGGCGCGCACCATCTAGCGAGCCTGCGCCACCGCGGTTGCCCACCAGGTAGGTCATGGGCATGCGGCGATGTTGTGTGTCAAGTGTTTCTGGACGCTTTTTAGACATGTTGCAAGCCCATGTTTTAAGTGTTTCAGTTGTTTTAGATGTATGTTTCAATTGTTTCATCCGAATGTTGCAAAAGTAGATGGATGTTGCATATGTTGCAAGCGTCTATCCTCAATGTTTCATATGTTTTTTACACGTATGTTGCAAGTGTTTTAGACGCATATCTCAAGTGTTTCATCTGTCTTCTTTTGTATGTGGCAAGTGTTGTATGTGGATGTTTTAAAAGTAGATTGGGATGTTGCACATGTTGCAATGGTGTTTCAACTGTATGTTCTAAATGTTTCATCTGTTTTAGACGTATGTTGCAAAATTTTTATCTGGATGTTGCAAAAGTAGATCGGAGTGTTGCACGGCGTGGCCGGCTGTCGCTAAACTGGAATCAGTTTCCTAAGGGGTTGTTCGGTTAGGCCGTTCTTGGCGTGGAATGGCCAGGAACCATTCCCACGCTATGTAAATCAATGAAGGAACAATACGGCCGGGAATCAATCTCACGTAACCGAACAAAGCCTGAGTGGTCTAGATCCGGGAGAAGGGAATGGCCGCGGGGGTGATGCTGCGGCCGGGACAAAGGAAGAGCATGGATGTGCGACCGGTAGAATCGTTCCCTGATCTGAGGGCCCCTCAGGAATGAAAAAACGATTGGGACCAGTAGCTTAGTAGCAAATTAAGCGATGGCCTAAACAAGAGCATGGAAGAAAAAAAACGATAAGAACTAAGAAGAAAAAAAATGGAGTGAACCTCAGTAACGAAAAATTAAAGGGTTACCTCACTAACAAAATTTAAAGGTTACTATATCAACGTGTTCCTCCATCCAAACACTCGGACACAAATTCCATCCTTTCCTCGAACCCGATAGAAAACCCAAAACCCTAAAAATGATCCTGTGTTTAGATGATTCAAAAAACAGCCGTCAATTGAATGGTCTTATATTACATATAACAACAACCACAGAGATAGATGGGGCCATCCCATCCGAAGTTTGTCTCTAAACTAAATACATGACTTATCAAACAACCCTCAATTGAATGATGTTCAGATTTCAACAGAATATTTTAGCAGTTCATTAATGTTTTTAATTTATTCCAAGTAGATGTCAGCCGCTCATTACATGAAAGAGTTAGGAGACCTGACGCAGGCACACAGGGCAGTTGATGGATTTTTTGGGCTTCAACAGTGTATTGTTTGTCATTTCTCAACTAAATAGCTCATGATTTTTTGGGTACCCCTAGGTATTTTCTCATTACCCGGAAGATTCAGATACTCCACACAATAATAAGTTTCTTCACCTGGAATTACTTTGGGTGTGAAACTTCAGATATTTGCATTTGTTATTATCTTATGAATTGTGCCAACTAATAATATAGTTTAGTCTATGTCAATTCAAACAGAAGGAAATATCTCAGAAGCCAACAATAATTAAAATACAATTTTAGTAGTGGTAGTTTTACTAAATCAACTGATACAGATGCTGTGAATTATTACCGGTGGCAGATGTTGTAGAGCTGAATCATAGAGTGGGAATTTATTCTCCCTTATTCACTCTCCTCCCCCCCCTCTCATTTCTTCTCCTCTTATTCCTCCTTTTTATTTACTTCCAATTCTCTGTATATATCTTGACAAAGAAACTAATGTTTATGTATCTCAACGTGGCTTAAAACAATATGTTTTGACATTGAACACCATGCTTTTTTATGATCTCTATTTGTCTGAGTCATAATAATTAACAAAAGCGTGTTTACTACTAATTGAACGGCAAAAGCAGGAGCGGTTCATTTATTATTGACTAAACTTGAAGCCTGGTTACAAGTTACAACAACCCCAAAACTGGAACTAGATCGAGCAGAACAAAGGCTAACAGAGTACAACAAGAAAAATAGGGACAGGTCTGCAGAACTGACAGGAGACTGGCCCCGTTCGGCTTGCTGAAACTTGGCTGAAAAACACTGTTCTGGCTGAATTTGTTGTGAGAGAAAAACATTGTTCCGGCTGAAAAAACAAGCTGAATAGTGCGGATTATAAGGTAAGCCGAACGGGGACAATTGACGGAAAAGAAGGAACCCTAACGAAAAGGAACTACTGTAGTTCAATTGGAATGCAGAGCATGCATCAGGCACTCCATTATTCTCTGGTAGCAGCAGCAGACCACTCTTCAACTGCATTCACCGCTCGCTCATGTCCTGTGTGCCATCATCCTCCTGCAAAAAGGTTAATAAACAGACAAAGCCTGGTCATAATTAAGTAACGGATCGAACACCAAAAATAAGAGACTAAAGGCCTGTTTGGAATGCGGGATTTTTTTCTCCATTCCTGCGTTTTTCCCGTGAAATTGAACTGATTGCTGTGAAATTCCTGTATGATTTCTGTAAAATTTCTACGTTTCAAACAGACCTAAGTTTAAACTTGATGAACAAGAATATCAATCTTAGGACCGGCGGAGTTGTCAGAGGAGGTATAAATTAAGCTAGCTAGGCACTTAGGCAGGGCAATAGCATGGACAGAGCTCGATCGCCTAGCATGCTAGTAATCGGTCTGGCCATTTGGGCTAGCTACACCTGCCTGGCTGTTATTGGTCCTTGCAGGCTGCAGGCGATGGGTGGTCAGAGCTAGAAGACACACCGTACCTGTGCAATTTCCAGGTCAAGGGCTCAAGGCCCACACATAGCATGTCGGTAATCATTAACTTAACTACTGCATAGATTCTTATCTTAAGGGAGGCATCCACTGGCGCCCTGATGATTGACATGTGATTGGAAACCTGTAAAATTACAGTGTCCACCGAACCGATCACCAATGGATGAAAGCCGAACTGCTGAAGATCGAGTCGTCTTCCACCTGACATCTCTTTCTTGAGCTGCTGCTAGAGTGCAAGTGTTCTATTCTTTATTAAAAAAAAAAGTTAAGGTGTTCTATCTCCTTGCTTCGCCAGTTCGCCTTATTAGCTTTCCAGTTGGCGGGGAGGCGGCGGCACGCGCCACCGGATCTGCAGGCACCTCTCGACTTAAGCTCTCCGACGACCGGGCCGGACAACCGGACCATACCCGCACCTTCTCCCTGTCGCGTCGCGCGCGCGCTCTCGGCAGCTAGCAGATCGAACCTCGAGGCTCGATCCTCCCCAGCCCTTTCCATGCATGGCGGCCGGCCTCTCGCCCCGGCCCGATGCGCTACTCACCTACAAGCAAGTTGCACCCTCACCGCCAGCCGGCCTCTCCCAGGCTTCCCAGCTGCCTGCCTACCTGGTCCGCTGGTCGTTCTCCTCTCTCCTTATACTACATACGTACACGACAGGAGTAAGGGAAAGGGAAAGCTCAAGTTCTATCCTTGGTCACGCGATATATGGCTAGATCAGTAGATCTGCACTCGATCTGCTGTTACAATATTATGCTTAGGGCAGAATACGAATGAAGTAGTAGGTGCGTGTGTAGGGAAATGGATTATGGATCCATCCACAAACCTTATCAGTTGTCTAGGAAGTTGAGCGCGAGCACGCAGATGTCGGGTCCCACGAGGCTCGCCGCCGCGATCGCCAGCAGGAAGCACAAGAAGTAGATGGCGACGCCGGCTTTGCGCCAGCGAGGAGTTGGCGCAAGTTCCACCTCCAGCCGGCGCCCGGTGTATATGGTGCCCAGGGCACCAAAGAGGATGACCAGGAGGAGGAACAGGGGGAGCTGAGACAGAGGCACGTCCGCTTCTGCCTGCCGGCGGGAGCGGGAGGAGGCAGCCGCCACGAGCTGCTCCACCAAGCCACCCACTGCGGTGGCGCTCGTCGCGAAGCCAACCCGGTACAGCTTAGATGGGAGGTTGCGGCGGAGATCCAGCATAAACTGGGATTCCCCGCCGCCGAGCGGCAGGGCGGCGGCGTTGTTCTCACCACCGTTGCTGATGCCGTCCATGACCACAAGCTCCTCCTCTCGCGCGCCCTGATCTTCCTCTTCTTCTTCTTCTTGTCTTCCCCGTGTGGACTTGGGGAGTGGTACGTCCTACCTGCCGTTGCTGATTAGCGAGTTATAATTATATAGGGGATTAGCGCGCGGGGCGGGCGCGCGGTGTGGTGTGTGGTGAGGCGCAGGGGCAGCGCGCGGTGAGGTGCAGGGCAGGCGCAGGGGCGCGGAGAGTGCAGGGCAGGAGCGGGCGCGCGGTGAGGTGCAGGGCAGGGGAGGGAGAGAAAAAATAAGCTTTATCTAGATGCTCTCTTTGCATAATTATCAACTCTCTATGAATCATGAAATTAAATATTTATAAAACTCTAGAATGAAACTTTATATTGAGATTAGGTGTTTTATTCCATTATATATGACGTCTCATTCCATTATATATGACGTCTTAAAAACAACACCGTGAAAATGTCTATTGATACACTGGATTTAGTGCGGCCGGAGTCCGTTCCACGTATAGTAGCGGACTGCACACCCAGTGATCCCCCGCGTCGCGAGCAGGAGTAGGAGTAGATGGCTGCAGCTAAGGCCGATCGAGACTGGGGCAAAAAATAAACCGAAACGTGTTATCGCTGCCCCGCAACGAAACGCGGCCGCGGGCGGGGTCGGGGAGGACCAAAGACGGACGGGAGGAGAAACTAAAGTGAACTCGGCGACGGGACGGCACGGGGAAATCAAATCCGGAAAAGAAAAGTATAATGGCAGCGAACGAACGAGAGAGGCAGTGGGGATGAGGTGCAGGGCAGGGGCGGGCGCGCGGTGTGGTGGGGGCGCACGGTGAGCGCGCGGTGAGGTGCAGGGCAGGGGGCGCGCCGGCGCGCGGGCAAGAAGTCGCTAGGCAGCCTGTTCGCTGCGTCGTAAACGATCGTAAATTTTCAGTCAGAACAGTATTTCTCTCCAACGTCAAACCAGTCAGCAGTAAATAATTCATGATCGTTTACGGGCTGCCGAACAGGCTGAGAGTTAATTGGATCCATTTGATCGCGGCGGAACAGCTCCGATGGGATGCCGTCGCAAGGAAGGAATGGAGATGGGTGTCCAACGCCCTGGGCAGCGAGCCAGATGTGACGTGCTGCGTGCGTGCGAAATTGGATGGATTCTTCGCCGGTGCTTGTCTCTCCAATTTCATTTTTTCTATCTTCTTACACAGTTACACATATTTTTGTTCCTTCAAATTTCTCATGAGCATAGGATTTGAATCATCTATTCGTTCATATTTTTTGTTGAAACTTTTCGAGCATATTTAGATGATTGTTCTTTTGAAAAGAAAAAAAGACACGGGAGCGTGGGAAGGCCGGGGCGGGTGTGGGAGCGTACCTTCTCACGGTAGCTAGTGTAGCAAAGGTTGGTTGTTTGAAGAAAAGAATAATTAAGCCTCGAGTTGATGCCAAACCCGGTCGATGGGCAGCTACGAATGAGTCATACTAGCTACGTATATATCACTCTCTTCATAAGTTATACTCCATTCGTTCCAAATTATAAATATTTTGTTTTTTTCTAGATACACTATTTTTTTCTAGATATAGTGTATACCTAAGTATATAGGAGAAGCTACAAGTTTAGAAAAGACAAAACATCTTATAATTTCGAATGAAGGGAGTAAGACATTTTGACTTTTTTAATATGTAGTTTTTGTTGTGTGCTCCTCTTCGTTCTAACTTATAATATATTTTGATTTTTATAGGTACATCAATTTTACTATATGTCTTACTATTACTAAAGAGGCTCCAACAGGGACATTATGTTAATTCTTCCAGACACACTAGAAAAAAAAAGGTAAACCCCATCTCACAATAATCAGAAACATCTAAGCTTTAGTTTTGACTAGCAAGCAGGCCATGCAGATTCAATTCTGGTTTTTTCGCCTGAAAAACCTAGGTGCAGCAGCCGCTTAAATCCGTGGGCCGGTTTTCTTTCCTGAATCTTGTGTATTTAGCACAAAATTGAGTTAATCCCTTTTCAATTGTATGTAGTACTCTCGATTCCCTAATTCGAATGTGAACACGACTCTCTTGTGTCCGACAAAGAGAAGTATGGACACGACTTCTTGTAGACCGGAAAGGGGACTAGAGCTAGGGGAAGCATCGATCCCCTAAAGTTAATGGTAGCTTGGGCGATTTGACGTGCCTGCCGAAAAAGAAGAGAGATCGACGACGATGGTTGACGATCGATCGTCGTGAAGCCAAAAAGGGCCGCGCGCCACCCTCAACTCCCTGCGACTGCGACCCGACCTTCAGACCTCACGTGATTGAAGGTGAGAAGGTCAAGTAGTTTCGCCTGGTAACCAGGTGTAAGCTTTCAATTCGGTAACAAGAAGACCATGCTGTATACAAGTTGGTTCCGCTGGGTGCAATTTGCAGTCGTCGTGCGTGTACGTGAACAGGCATTCGGTATTTCGGTGATCGTCTGATCGACTACTACGCCATCATCCCTGAAGCGTCTCAGCCAGCTCCGTTCAATGCCAGGACCATAGCTAGCTGCTGGTCGTAGCTAGGGGCTGCACGTCGTACCTCGTACGTACCACTCGTGTACAGCCTATTCGGTTGGCTGGTTCGTATCGTTGCTGGTTCGTGAAGAAGTACTGTTGACTGCTTTGTGTGAAAAAAAATACTATTTCGACTGAAAATTTACGATCGTTTACGACAAGCCACAGCCAAACAACAGGCTCACTGGGCAACTGTGGCGCCACCAAATCAAAGTTGTTGATCGATGTTGCATTAGATGACGGTGACTTGGTTCCAGCAGGTGCCTCTGATCTTGTCCTTCAACTTATATTTTTCGATCATCCAATACTACTATCAGAACAGAACCTGTTTCTTATAAAAAAAAAACTGTTTTTGTCGGCAACGGCGACTGGCTGTGTGCTGTGCTGTAGTACATCAGGGAGGCGCGGAACGAGTCAGATTAATTGACCTGCTGTCAGCAGGCTACCTGTCAATCCATGCAGGATCGTCAGCCTAGCTGGTTCGTATCGTTGCTGGTTCGTTTATATGAGAAAAAAATAATGTTAGCTGGTTCAGATAAACAGTACTCATATGAGGGGGCTGGCCAGCCTAGCCAGCCCCAGCCAGCCCAGCGTCAACGTTGTTTGGTACATGGGCAACATGCCATGAATTATTGCTCGAAACCGACCTGCTACAAGCCTGCTGCCCATGCAGCTCCAGCTCCTGCTCGTCGTGTGGATTCAGTCTATTCGTTTGGCTGTGGCTTATCGTAAACGATCGTAAATTTTCAGTCAGAACAATGTTTTTCTCTTACACAAACTAATCAGCAGTACTTCTTTACTAACCAACGAAACGAACAAACCAACCGAACATGCTGATTGTTCGGTTCAGTCGGAAACAAGCTGGCTTTTGTGCCTGTACTACGCGGCGGACGGCGGAGTATATGCAATGCAACTAGTGCTAATACATCGATTCAGTTTGGTCGCCGTGATTGGCGTCGTCGTTTTTTGCGGAGTGTTGACGAGCTTGTTAAGGCAACATCAACTTCGTCGATTGATCAAAAATGTGCGTAACTGAATTCACAAACCAATTCTGGTACGTGCTGCTGGTACTATACTACCCGCCTGCTACAAGACCAGTCCTAAAATAAGTGTTTTGACTTCCAGACATCTTGTTTGATTGTTCGTCTTCTTCAAAATTTTATATAAATATTATCTATTTTATTATGAATTATTTTACCATTAGAGATAATTTAATAATGATTTATTTATTTTGTAATTTACATAAAAAATTTAAATAAAACGAATGGTGAAATAAGATATTTGAAAATAAAAAAATATCATTTATTTTGGGACGGAAGGAGTACGCTCAAAAAGAAACGTCGTCTGTGTTGGTGGAGCTGAAGAAAAGCAGTACTTCTCGTCTATATATACTATATACGAATATATAAGACAAAACTAACGCAAAAAGAACAAAATTGTCTTGCAATCGAGTATCGTTTTCTCCGATATAATGTAGGAGGCCTCTGCGAGACTGGGACTCTGCACCAAAGCTGGACGCTATGGTTCTGGATCCAGTTGATGTACAGGCATTTCTCATTATAGCGTGCCCCAACATATACGCTGCGACACGTCATGCTCTAGTGTCGGTGTGCATGATGAAATTCGCACAGGATGATGGAACCGTGCATGGGCATAGATGACACTGATGCACACGTACGTCGACGACAGCGATCGATGGACCGTCCAAGACTCATTTTTCTTCGTTCTTCCCCTTTTTTCCAAATCGTAAGAAAATTGTGATTCTTCGACTATGCTCTCTTCATCCCTCTTGTAAACTGTCGGCTAATCTACTAAGAGCAAGGAAATGGGCCTCACCAACAGTTTGGTACGAGCGCCGCACAAGTGTTCCCTAGATGGGCCCAAGTGAGTGGGCTGGCTATTTATCAAGTAGCTGCAGCTTAGATTATTACTAGAAACGCGGGCACGGCTTTGCCGTGCTTTCCCTTTCGATTAGGCCAGTGGCAATAAGAATATAGGTGTAGTGATGATGTCATGGGCCGTCGTTATGATCTTTATTTTCACTGCCAGTTTAGAAAACGAGCGATGATGAGGATGAAAATGTTTGTGTAGTAGTGACAAACCTATTAAGAGACGGGGTCTATGGTGAATATTGCAGTAGTGACCTTGCATTTGTTGGAACTATGTTTAGATTTTGTTTTTCTTTTCTTTACCTTGGTTCGGTGAAGATTGGGTATTTTCGTCTTTTACCTTTGGTTTCAATGCAATCTCCTATTAATTCCTCCTATCTCTAAATGATGTGCAGGTAAGCAGGTTCATATTATGGATGCACTGCATAGTTCTACTTGTTAGGATTTCAGATCAACTTGATTTTCTAATTTACAATTTTTTTGTGATTTACTATGCAATTTTAAAGTTTCAGCTAATTTAGTTTTTGAAAAAAAAAACAGACTGACATGCGAGGCCCACAATAGCCTAAAAGAATTGAAACTTT